AGGAAGAGGTTCACGAGCACTTGGGGGACTAGGAGGAGGTGTATTCTTTGGAGAATGTGTTGCTTTTGAAGGAGATGTTGTGCGAGGAGGACGTGGCAAGGTTCCACGAGAAAATCTTGTTCCAAAAGTACTTAAAAACGAAGGTGTTTTAACTACTGAAGGGGGGGTCTTTGGGCTTGGATTTGAGGGACCAGGAACTTCCGAATCATCTGGTTGAGCAAACACAGTGAATGAAAAGAGTATCACAAGAAGTAACATCAAATTGTTTTTTATTATACTAAAAAGTTTTGAATTTAAAGATTGGGTACTGTTTCATTATTTGATTATTGTTTTTGATAATATACGACCTCAACAATGTTGTATAAAGTATATGATAATGACCAAAATACAAAAGCAACAAGTTGTATTAAAAGTTCGAAAATGTCAAAGTTTGAAACGAAATAGGGTTGATTTGTTACCTCAACGTTAAAAAATAGTAATTTTTCTAATGTTATTTTTTGGAAAATATAAACCAAAAATTATAAATTGGTTTATAACAATAAATACCAAGCCTTTGTTGTAAAACTTTGTACCAATCACAGTTGTTGTTTTTTAAAATTTTTTTGTTTTTTATTATTTTTTACACAAATTATTATTTAAAAATTTGAAAATTTAGTATTAAATAATTATAAAAAAACGAAACAATGATTATTCAATATTTCGAACAGAATACCAATATTTTCCAATTAGAATTGACCAACAATACCTGTACAATGTAAAAGACGTATTAATGTTTTCTGACTAATTGTTATTGAAAAAAAATAAAATTAAAATAATTTATTTTTTATTCAAGAAAACAACAAACAAAATACATGTTTTTGTATTTTTTTATTTTTCCAAAAATAATTTTAAAAGTTATTTCTAAATTATTTTTATTACAAATAAAATTATTGTTGAAATTAACAATTACAGTAAAACTTTAAAAATGTTCATTTTATTAAATAATACACTTATTAATTACACTTTTGTTTGAATGTTTAGTAGTCTTGGCACATGCATCCAATGTTTTTTGAACAACTAAAAAAACACAAAGTTTTAGTAATTTTTATTTTAATTTTTTTTATTTATGATAATAACATTTTATTAATTTAAGAAAGTTGTTATTATTTTGTTGGTTTTGGCGAGTTTATTAAGTAATTTAACTATTGTGTTATTAGAAGAGAATTTTAAAAAGATCGATATATTGTTATTTAAAAATGTCCAAGCGTTGTTCTTATACCTCTTCCATTTCCATTAAATCAAAAACATAAATATTTTCTTTCACTTAGTATTCTTTGAGAAATTGTCCCACTTATTTGTAAATGAAAAATTGGATGTCATTCTCCTTTTTCAGCTTAATTGGTGGAACAAATACTTGAAACCAATACCTTTAAAGTTAACCACGTTTCTTTGGCACGGTGCTTAATATTTAAGTTCTCAACCAAGTTTCTGAACTTCTTTTAAAAACACAGTTCTTCATGTAAATAAGTTGGAAAATGAAAATTATGTTTGACTAACGGTTTATTTGTTTAAACACTTTATAGTTTAAACTATACGATATTATATGATTACTAAATAATATAATACATGGTTGTTTGAAATAATATGGTTTCTGTTATTGTTCAATTATAATATTTTTATAGTATATTATTTATGAATTAAAAACGATAGTTATTTGTAGTATAATAATATAATTTAAATTATTGTACTATAATATAACAATTAAATATAATAAAATTCATAATACAATAATATATCAAATCCCATTTGATAATAACAATTATACTTTAACTTTATTATATCATCAAATGCAGTTCAATCACAATTAATCACACAACATGTATATTTTTTTACAACGGAATTATTTTAATACTTCAAAAATTAATTTTAGTAATGTTTTTCAAACTTCATAAAATTTGCATTGTTAAGAAATTTGAAATGATAATCAAATAATCAAAGATGACACGACGACTCGACCGTTACTCAATGATGATTGTTTCAAAATACTTCAACGACATTGGTGACTTTGTTAATCTTGTTATGGTCAACAGAAAGTTCACCGAGATACCAGAGATGTTCCATTACAACCCGATTCCTCTGACAAGAAAAACAGCGAAACACTTCCCAAATGTGGAGACACTCCACATCTATAAAAACAGCGACTTGTATATGAAGGATTACTACCAGTACTATGTCCACATCGAAATGTCTGTTCTGCAATA